TTCTCAAAAATGTCTACTTGTAGATCAAAATGAAATAAAAATAGTAAAAAGTCAATGTAGAAATGTTTTGTCTCCAGAAAGTTATTTTGGAGCATTGCATCCCTTTGCACTACATTTAATCCAAATTATTTTCCCTCGAATGCTCGCTATACCACAAACTATTTATTAATGCTTTCGTAGTCGGTTGACTCTCATCTTATAATATAACATTAGTCTATATAATAGGTGACATAAAACAATTTTATTTCTGATACTATATTCAGTATCAATATAAATTACATGCTAAACAAGTTTATTACTTCATTGGTCAACCCAAACACACACTGTTTAYTGTTCATCGGTCGTCACAATATATTCTCTTGCTTGATTATTTCTCTCCCGATATTTTATAATGTATACACATTTCAGTATATTTAAAATTTTTTTTTTTAATTTCAATTTTTTTTTCTCAAACACTCTTAGCTATATATACAATAATAACTGATAAAACATATTTTTGATTTATTAATTTATTAGACTTTTGCAAATTTATAAACTTACAACGTTCCTAAGATACAATYGCAAAATTAATTTCCTGAATCATAATTAATTTTAAAAATGTGTAGTTAAAAATRCATGGAATATCAGTGATATATCACTAATCAGCCGATGTACCATATTTAAAATTCTTATTAGAAATTTTGAAAAATAGTATTTRTAGGTATAATAGTTCTATTTTTAAACTTCGTAGTCATAAAACCAATTAATTTAAGTAAGAGTTATGTKGGTCATCACAAATTTTGAAGTTAAGGATACAATAATATGTGTTTTATATTATTAAGAATGTCCGATTTTATTTCACAGCATAAAAACCTACAACTTTAGAACCAATTTATAGCTTTAGGACCAATCGCTGCTTAGGTTATCTCCATAAATATTCTATTATTTATGTGTATCAGTAGTAGGATCCTCAAACATTTTCACCGCGATTTACCAGCTTGTGGATAAATCAGCGTTGGTTTCCTTATGTCCTTTACAACTGAACACTGCCTATACTCCTGTGCCACTTTTTTATGAGATTTAAAAATGATACTTGGTCTCTTTTCTTTTCTATAAATAAAAATGGTCGTACTAGTGGACCATTGACTTTACGACACAAACCTTCAAGTACCTACCCACGCGGACTTAGATCTCGGTTATTATTATTTCTTTCAATATTTTCTGCAGGTGCTACATTTTTATCACACATTTTATTGTTTTATCAGTAAGTACCTAAGTGTCAGAATAACATGGTAAATTAGTGATTTGTATTGGTATTGTTTTTGAATCTGTAAATTATATTATAGAAATTCGTAAATAACTGTAATGGTTATTATGTACAAAATTCATTATTGAAAGAAAATCAATTGAGTGTACGCGATGTTACTATAATATAATTTGATATGCACCTATAATATTATAACCTATGATATAATATTATTTATCATGTATATTATTGTTTATAAACAGTGGGGAATGAAAAAAGATTGCATATTGCATATGATGATTTTTTTTTTTTAATGAAACTTGTAATTTTTGAATAAAATCTATCACTTCAATCTCAAATAAATGCGACCATTACGTCGTACAATAAAATATATTTAACTATAGACAGAGAAAATTAAACCCATCCAGTCCTAATACGAATACGATGGCGATCTGAAATAAATGTAAAGTTCGTCCTTGTTTCAGATATTGTAGTCACGCGTTCAATAATAATAATAATAATAATAATTTAACGTCTTGAAATTTAGTTTCCCAATTTCTAAAAGTAACAAAAAAAAAAAACATTTGAAAAGCATTTGAAAAACCTTTTACGAAGGGTTTTTAAAACGTTTGAAAATCATATAACTGTCGGTGGCATGTTTTGACATGATTCGCCAAATGGGTTGTTTTTCGCACACGCCTTGACAGGCACACAGTAATGCCGATAAACCGTCCGCCCAAACCACCTCGACAGAGCGCCCCAACGAACTGGTCTTGTCATAAAACGTTTCAAGATAACCGTACAATATTATAATTCAACCGCCATCGTTACATTACTATTAATACAGCCGTATAATTATATTATAAATACAATATAATTGTGAGATTTTCCATAACAATGATATGTCTCGGTGACATTTTGAACCGGGACAATCGAAAACTCGGAACGCGTAACGCACGTTAATTTGTCGAGTGGTTGACGCCCGGAGCAATGTCGGAGGCGGGCTGTGGTGCAGAGCGGACGAGAGCTGAGAATAATAATAATAGTAATAATGATAAAATAATAATGAAAAAAAYCGCTCCGGAGAGGGCGAGGGCCGAGGACACTCCGTTTGGGGCCTATCTTTCCGCCGTCACCGCCGCCGCCGTCGACGCTGCCGACTCCCGAGTGCCAGCCGTCGTCGACTACCGATGCACGCACTGGTTGATTCACACATTTCGACGACGGTCTGCCAGTGCCGCACTATGAATCTGGTGGAGATTTCACGTGCTATCCGCTGAGTAGTCACCGCGACAAATAATAATTAAAAATATCAACYATACAGTKATATTAAATAAATAATAACGACAAATCGAATTCCGCCGGCCACACGATATCATCATATTAAGTGCATTTGCTAAAATATTATCGCAAATATTATATTCCCAGTGCAACAAATCACGTGAGTACAGGAGAAGTCGATATTAATATTTTCGTATTAATGTTGTTATTATTTATTATTATTATTATTTTTCGGGTATATACGTTTACGCGTGGGACATTATTATCGTTTCGACGTCGCAGTATTTATTTATTTTTACTAMGCCCGCACACACACCTTGGTGCCATCAATTTCCCAGAAATAAACTATTGTTTTTACGAGGTTTTTCATTTTTTACAGCTTTCCGTTTTTATTTTTTTTTAAGCTCAAAACTTTTTTTACGACCACACAAAAGACAATAATTTCGAATACCGTCTGGTTGACAGAAGACACTCCTGCGCGAACGGTTGCACATCAAACTCATTTTTTTTTTTCTTGAGATCCATTAGTGCAGCAATCCACTTGGTGCGCTTAATTACCTGGCTTGTCCGTGACTTTTAATATTTTAATATTTTATTTGCGATTTTATAACTTCAATACTGTTTGAACAATGTAAGATATAATTATGATGTCATCGTCCGTTTTTCAAATTACTTTATATTATGCGCAATTTATATGTTTAGTAAGTAATGTTTTGTATAAAATATTACATGTGAACAACTCCGATGCTTAAAAGTTGTTTTCTTTTTTATTTGACCCCAAAATGATTTTTACGCTGAATATTTTTTGCACGTACGCTTTGTCAGATTTTCCAATTACGTGTACCTATACGAATAAGGTGTAATAGGTTCCGTCAAATTCATTGCCAAACGTCGTTGAGTAAACCATCGCGTCGGTTCTGTGGACCTATAGAAGGTCATACAGAGACGAATATTGTGAACAGTGAATATGACGTGATCGGAATGGATCACAGCAAATTCAAATACCTACATTCTGTCGCGATGTATGCTTATCCACACACGATTTCATCTTAAAATTATAYACACACAACTCATATTGCCATGGTATAAAGTGACAGGATAGATAATTATTGTAAAGCAATGTGCGATTCAAATAAACATAATGTGAGAATATCAACGTTTAATTAACTTAAAGTTTAATTTCTTTGCCTATATTAATAATAATAACCACATATTGATTAATATTCTTCTGATGAACAATATGATTCGTAAYATTGCATCAAATCTTGTAATAATTTCAATCAAGCCAATAAAATGTATTGCTTATATTATTTAGGTATAAATATGATTTATTAAAATGTAATTTAATATTTATTTCTAGATGATAATATTATAACAAAAACATATAACATATAATTTGAATATTATTTTTATAGTAT